CACTTTACAGAGTCCTGATAATTAATCCAGCTAGACAGGGACTAGGATAAGGAAATATTATCCTCACTTTACAGTTCCACAGAGAAATACTTCATTCCAGAGCCAGGACTGAGGCACAAGTTCCCCATTCCCAGTCTTGTGCTCACATGAAATGTGTAAGTAATTAAACTTCCTTTACTCATTTCAGCTGCTTCTCATTAACCAGGAGTATAAACTCATTAGAGGAGGAACTTTTTGTTACATGTGCTCAAAACACCAGCACAATGAGGCTGGGAATCCTTCTGAGCCTCTCCAAGTGTTACTGGAGTGTAAACACCAATCATTGAAAAGGCACTTCTCATTTTTAATGATTATGGCTTGGAAAGCAAACAAACTCAAATAAGTCTCAGTGTTACTTTGGTTTCAATTTTAATGCACTTCTCAGGTCAGTGTTTACCTGAGCTGAGCCTTTGTCAGAAAATTTTCCCACTTTTCAAAAATAAATAAGAAATTATATGTAAAAAAAAAACCCCAAATGAACCCTGTTTGTTATTGGAATGGTATTTTTTTTAACTTATTGAATTTGGACCAAAAATATTTTGATCCTGTGTGATCCACAGCATCTCTGTGCTAACACGTCCTAAAGATCAGATCCTTGCCCCTCATGGAAGAGGGTTTATCCATGTCTTTGATAGATGAGCCATTAACTCCAGTGAAGCCTCTGAGAATTCCCTTAGTGCAGTTATGAAATTTTATTCTTCATACCCAAGACTAAGAATAATTGTCCAGAGCAAGAAAACTGTCAGCAAAGACATTTCGTTTATTATTATATTTTTAACTTAGATGCTCAAGATCTGGAGTGCTCTAAGTGAATTGAAAACTATGGAGATCAGAGCAAATAATGCTCCATTACACAGCTCCCTGAATCCCTGCAACCTCCCTTGGCAGAGTTATCTGCTTTGGAGTACCATAATTCCTCCATTTGAGCAATCTGAGCCTCATCCACATCAGAAATTTCAATGCCATCTTGCCCCCATCATGTTTTTCAGATCCATAACCTCAGCATGATGCTCAGAAAGGCAGTGGTGCCACAGAGTGACTCTGGTACAGAAATGCATTTACAGAGAGACCATTCAGACCATTAGACATCACTTGTACTCTCCTTTTTGTCAGGAAAAGTCAACTTCCTAATTCCAGAGTGTTCTGCCAGTTGCATGCAGGAACTGCAGATCCTCTCCTCATTCTCACCCCTTGCTCCCACTTTGCAGTGATAATGCAGTTTTTTGAATGGTTTCAGGGTTTATTCCATGCTTTAATGTGGCGTTTCAAATCATCTAACAGATGGCATTGTCATCATTTTTCCTTCCCCACAGAATGAAAATGAACAAACACTTGACATTTCCAATATGTCTTCATCTAATGCAAGAATTTTTAGAAGCTGTGGAATAGTGATAATCTGCTTTGCCTTAGATGGCCAGAATTGTTAAATGTGTCCTAAAATTCCTACATTTCCCATGTGAGTGTGTGGAAAATGGGGATATAACCACACAATCATCATGGTTATGTCCTGTACCACGAGCTCTGTCCAGGGCAGAGCAGGAACATGGAGCAGCTGTGCAATGAGGGGGGAAGGTTCATTAGGGAGATGAGCTCGAGTTGCTCCAGCACTTAGAAATCAGCTCACATTTACAAACCCACAGCAGATGCATCGTTTGGCAAAAGAGTTCTGCAGTCAGTAATTTGCCATTCATCAGGGATTGCCTCTTAAATCTGGGATCCAAGCTAGGGTGCAGATGACATAGGAGGATAAATTTAGACAGGGCTGAAAACAATTATTTTGATTAAACCTCCAGCCAATGAGAGTGACAGTCTTCCTATTCCTCCCCTTCTCCCTCACTCACCCCTCTGTGGTGAAGGAGGAGATTGGGTGAGTTTAACCTCTCTTCCTTTTCCAAGCAGGGGATGTTTGGATGGAGCTTTTGCTGCTGCAGACTCTCCAGTGGAGTAGGGAGGGTGTTTGGGTGGAACATGCTGCCTTGCTTCCGTGTTAATGTTGGAAAAGGTTGTGTTGGAGGGAAATATTGAAGTTTTGTTTACCTTAAAAAGAGAGAGTGTATCTATTGAAGTAAATATTGGTTTTTCCTTGGCCTATCCTGCCACTGGGGCAACTCCTTGGACTGGATGAGTTGATTCTGCTGGGAAATCTTTGTGAAGTTGTTGCCTGGCTCCTAAACTTCGTCATTCCAGCCTCTCACAGCTTTGGCATTAATGTTTCCCAGTCTTTGAAACTCTTTGTCCAATCTAACATGGATGTGTAGGAAGAGTAATGCTAACTATTCTTTTAAAAAACATCAACAAAAGCATAATTTAACTACTCTGAGCTATTTTATTAGAAATAAAATGATCTTAATCTTGGCTGGCAATCTTGTGCCCACCAGGCCTTGGCTTGCTGTTATCATAAACAGCTCTGGTTTAAAATGATAAGAATAATATGGAGGTAAATTGCTGCTTTTTAAAATTAATTTTTAATGAATAGTAGCTTCCTTTGGGATTATCATGGCATCACAGAATGGTTTGGGTTGAAAGGAACCCAGATCCACCCCTGCAATGGGCAGGGACACCTTCCACTGTCCCAGGCTGCTCCAAGCCCTGTCCAACCTGGCCATGGGCACTGCCAGGGATCCAGGGGCAGCCACAGCTGCTCTGGGCACCCTGTGCTAGGGCCTCCCACCCTGCCAGGGAACAATTCCTGCCCAATATTCCATCCATCCCTGCCCTTCCTCTGTGCAAGTTCAGTACCACTGTCACTGCAGGCTGGATTATGTGGCTCTCCTGAAGTTATCTTGCAAGTCTTTTTTCCTCATTTCCCTGTAGTATGGAATTGGGCAGAGGTCACTCCTTGGCTGCTCGCTGTGGTTGCTGCTCCTCCTTGCACTGTTGTTATGTGAGAGTGGAAGAAAAAAGGCCAGAACTGGGGATGGAGGGTGGTTGGGAAACTGAGCTGAAGGGCTGCAACTTGTAATGACATAAACTATAATTGCAAAATAAAATAGCAAGAATTTGGGAATAGGAAATTTTATCTTATTTACTCTTTGGTAATTGCTGGCACTTGACTGCAATCAGCTGCAAGCCTGTCTCTGAGTGACAGCACAATTCCAGCCAGAGCAACCAAAAATAGCCCAGCATTTGAGTAATTTTAGGCTTTTTATAACCTAATACTTCACAAATAAAAGCCAGTGTAATGTGGGCAGATTGAACTCTGCAGACTGGGGTAAACTGGGCAATGCTGTGAGAAGTCATACCCAGAAAGCACCAGTTGTATCTTTCTTCAGCTATTCTTGCCCAGAATTAAACTGGATTATCTCATTTTTTGTTCATTAGTCTTAATAATATTTCAGAAGTTGTTCAAGCTCTACACTTAGTTTCTTGTTGGGGTGAGGAGGCTGGCAGAGGGAGGAGAGGGAAGGTCCAGCCTTCACCAAAAATTCAGTCAGAAAGAACCTTAATGAGTAAACTTCCCCGATTTTGGTCAGAAAACCTGCTGGGCCAAGGAAGATTGGAATAATTGGAGATTCCCTGCTGAATCATCACTTATAGATCCTGTTTATGTCATTAGCTCTTAAATTACCTCCTCTCATTGATCCCCATACCTTTGTTGAGGGAGGAGGGAAGAATCCTTTCTCCAACACAGGGTATAGGGGAAGGTCACTTTTCCCTCATGGTCCCAAGAGTTTCTCCTAAGTCTCTTCCTCAGGGGATTTCAGTGGAAGAGTCAAAGCCCTGAGGAATTCTGCTGGCACCCCAGGACTACAGCAGCATGAATTAATACAGATCTGCAGCATCACACACATTTGCATGGCTGTTTTGCCTTTATTACTAATTTACAGTTTTATTTGATACCAAAACACTGGGTGACACAGTAGAGCTGCTTTAGTTTTATTCCTTGTTAAACCATTTTAAGAAGTTGTCTGTTTTGAGGACCAGCACAAAAGTCAAGCTATATTAACTTGTCAAGTAGATTAGTTGTGAAACACACTTTTGGACATTTTAATTCAGAATTAAAGTGACTGTAATTGGATTTAGCTTACTTTGCTTTCAGAGTGAATTCAGGTAAATCAAATTAAGGTTCATTCAGTGTAGTGGTGTGGGCAGAAATCCTCATTATGGGCTACATGGAGCAACTGAAAACGTGAGGCCAGGTTGGATGGGGCTTAGAGCAGCCTGGTCCAGTGGACGTTGTCCCTGCCTGTGGGAGGGGGCAGAAGAAGATGAGTTTTAAGGCCCCTTCCAAGCCAAACCCTTCCATGATTCTGTGATGGTAACTATTGAGGAGCCAGTACTGGAGAATCTTTGGGATTTTAGGGACTTGCTGCTTAATTTACCAAAGAAATGTCAGGGGCATCAAGTTGAATATAGATAGGAAGAAGAAGACAGCCAATAATTACAGCTACAGCATCTGTGGAAGGACAAAAAACTGCAAGTCCACAGTTCAAACTTGAAGTTGTATTTTGAACAGTTCTCTTAAAGGAGAGGGAATTTGCATCCTAAATAACCAACTATCAATGCTGAAGTAAAGAAAGGAGGTAAGTTCCCTTAACTGTTACCTGATCTCTGAAATGAGGGATGTTAGGTGATGCAGAAAATAATGAGTTTTCACACTGTCAGGCTTGTTTGAAGGCTTTTCAGTGATTAAAAAAAAAAAACCCCAAACACTAATCTTGAATACAGAATAAATTCAATCACACTATTCCAGCTGTGACTGTGTAACCTTCCATTCACCAGGCAGTGTGTGACTAAATGAGTACCCAGGTGACAGCTGTCCAAGAAAACCTGCAGTGCTCAGGCAGGTGTCACTGATGGAACAACCTGGCTTTTATGGCTCATTCTCCCTCTTTGATAAATGCTCTCTGGGTGTTAAATGCCCCTCCTGTGATGGCAATGAATATAATTAATTCCTGATGATGAATATACTTCCAGTAATCCAAATGACTTTTGTTTTCATGCTGTCTTTTTTTGGACAGGAAGCCTCTTTTTTGCCAGCTATTGACACGTTGCCTGGATCTTACAGTGTGAAAAAGGAGGTGTTGCTGATGACCATTTGGCTGGCAAGTTGTGGCCAAGTGGCCATGGATCAGTGTGAGGAGCAGGTGCCTGACAAGGTGCTGGGAGCAGCCAACATCTACCTGGCCCTCGTGACCTGGCTGCTGTCCCTGGTGAGTGCAGTGACCTGGCACAAAAACCTCCAGTGAATACATAATCACTCTTGAAATCTCCTTTTTTCCCCCCAAGAGCTACAAAACAGTGGCTGAACAAAGTGGAAGTTATGTTCGAATTCACCTTGGGGTCTGTAAATGAAAGTTTCACCGGAGTCAGTGGAGCTGGGTTGTGTCTGGAGTTTATGAAGAAGTGAAAAATTGTTGATCCAGATTTTCAGTTGTTGAAAGTGACTGCTGGGTGTTAGGCTTTGTCCTTGGCGATGGACACGGGTTCCTGGTTTTCACTGTTGTAGATAAGAACAGACCCTTCCTGATAGTCAAGAGTGCTATGAACAAGTGAGGAGCTGCCTTAATTGTCCTTTGGTTCACGTGTTTTTCTCCTCTAAAAAAACCATCCCATCCTCTCTCTTTTCCATCCATATTACCCTTTATTTCCAAGGGAAACCAGTGTATTTTTCCTCCCCAATGTATATTTTTCCTTCCCACCCTGCTCAGTGGCCTTATTCTTTTCCCTGGGAGAGACTGGGATACCAATACTGATCCACACAGTCAAGGTAGATTTCACCCTGAGCAGTCAGGCTTTTAAATCACTTAAACTCCACTTAAACACAATTAATTGTTAATGATGTTCGTGCTTGCATTAAAACATTGCTAACATTCTTTAGTGTTAGTTCAGTGCTAATGACAATTGCCACTGGAACAGCCCTGCATCCTGAATTTTCCATTCAGGCTCGTTGGCTTGTGACCAGCTGCAGTGTGAGCTCTCTTCCCTCGTGTTATTCCCACTAAGAAAACCCAAAACAAAACAACCCCAAAAAAAACCCCAAAAACAAACCACAAAAACCAACTGAGCTCAGTTGCAGCAGTTCTCTCTGAGCCTGAAAGGATATCTCGGCTTCCAGGGCTGTCTCACTCTGCTGGGTGTAGGCTCAGATGTTTAGATGGATTCTGTGGCCAAGAAGAACTGGGGTAAAATCCACCAATTTATTCTACACAGACTCTGAAATTGCTGTTGGATAGCAATGAAGAAGTTTGCATTTCTTTCACGGAAAGAATTGGAAATGTTGAAGCATTTTTAGACCGAATTCTCATCTGGTAATCCATGTAATTCCATGGACTGGCTTGTGTAAATCAGCATATCCTTGCTGATTCCAATGGAGATGTGCTGGATGCAGCCAGCTGGGAGCAGTGGTCCCCTGGATGGTGCAGAATTCCCCATGGGAATCTAGTGCTCAAAGCAGTGGAGGACTTGGAGCTGGTGTTTTGAGTGATCCAGTTGAGCTGTGCAGTAGTTTGAAAATCCATCTTGGCTCTGTGTTAAAAGCATGTTTTTAAAGGCCCTTAGCTGCCTGTAAATGCAGTAAATAGAGCTGATAATGGACCTAGAGACTGGTGGTGGTCTAAACCAGAACAGGACTTGGAGTTTCTGCATCCTGCAGAGGATGTGAGGGAATTGCAGTAGCTCAGACTTGCCTTTCTCTCCATCCAGAGCATGTTCTGGATCAGCACCTCTGCTTTTCCTTTCTCCTGGCTTTGCTGATTCCTTGTGTCTGGCTTTCCCAGAGTTTTCTGCCCCTTTTCACCAGCTGCCATGGGCATTTTGCAGCATCCCAGTGCCTTTCCAGACTGTTTCAAGTGTCTTTCCGCTCTCTTTTCTAATTTATGATCAAGATTTTAATGTATTCTGCATGTTAAAGTGGATTATGTTTTATCTGACTTTGAGCAACCTAAAGAGCCAGGACATAGTCTGTCCTACTGGAACCTTCTCCCTGGATTTAAACTGATATTCACAATAATAATTTATGTCTTGGGGTTGCAGAAGTCACTTTTTACCCTTTCTGCTTTAATTCAGATCTATAAACTGGAAAATAGAATGTTTGCCTCCCACACACATGTGCATTTAAAAAAATCCATGAAAAATCACCTCAGCCCAACTAAAAGGGGATTCACAGGATGGGGATTGAGGGGGTTTGGGCTATTAATTTGGGCTTTTTAGAGAAGCCTGCAGCAGCCCCTTGGCACGGCATCATCCCCTTGCATTGATTTGTTGCTGAGATTGGATTGATCTCAGTGTCACTGATAAAGGCACACACGGTGCTGCCGTCACAGGAACATTCTGGGCAGCCTTGGCAGGGGCTCAGTGCTGGACCAGGGAAATAATGGGAATTCCTGCTTCCACATAGTGAATCTGGTGGAAGTCAGAGCTTGCAAGTCCTCATTGTGAAAATAAATCCTATGGCTTATCAAAAGCAATGTGTTATTCCTATTTAATTTGGTCTTTATTGATTTTTCTACTGGCTAAACCGCAGCTAATCTACTAATCAAAGCAGAGTTCTCCCTGGGTTGTTGTGGAGCTCTACTCAAAAGCAACAGAGCAAGATAAAGAGATTTTTTTCCGTCCATCTAAAAATGGAATTATGTTCCAATGGATTTCCAGGTGCCTCCTGTGAAGAGGAAGGATGGCCCCAAAGCTCCATTTGAGGTGGTGGGGCTGCAGCAGGCCTGGAGAGAGGAAGGCTTGGCCCTCTACGCCTGCCTGGTGGCACCAGAGGAACCTTCAGCCCAGAGCTGCCCACAGGCCCAGGAGTCAGGAGTGAGTAGCAGCATTTACACGTGGTAGTTGTGCAAGCACTGCTTTGTACTGAGCACCAGGCCTGGATGTGCCAATTCCAGCTCAAATTCCAGCAGGGCAGGACAGAGCAGTGGGAGAGCTGCCCAAACTGGGATGGGGGGACAGCCCAGTGCTGTGGAACTGAAGGATTGCTTACAGCTGATTGCCAGCCCAAGCTGTCCTCAGTTATGCAGTTAGGTTATGGCATTTAGGCTTCTAATTGGGATAGCTTGAATTTTAACATCTGTATTGTCTCACCCTTCACATGAGACTGAAAACAGAATAAAAGTTTCTAAAACACTTCTCAGTTGCCCCATCACTGAGTCAGAAAAGGGCATAATCCAACAATGCTGCATTTATGTTATGTGCAGACCAGAAACCAGCTCTCTGTGGCATCATTTTTTGTCAATGGCTCATTAGCTGTAACCTCACACTGCAGAAATTTAGCTGGATTTGAAGGAGACACATCTTTTGGCACCTCTTCTGGTTTTTCCTCCTTTATTTTAACCATGTGAAGAGTGTGGCACAGGAGGAGGAATTATTTTTATTTGACTGCCAGGAGCTGAGGCCTGAAAGCAGAACATGAGCCTGTGCCCTCAGTTTTGGTGGGCCCCAGAGCCTGAGCTGTGCAATAAAACTAGAAGGTCTTGCATACAGGCTGGAAATTTAGCACATGCAGGTGGCACATGTGATGTAAGATATGAACTCCTGTCCTGAACACAGAGCTCTGAAATTGCAGCTCTGGGCTCTGCTCTGTTGGTTCTGTCCTTCACAGAGATGATTTGATACAGGCTGAAGCCTATTTCTTACAGGCTATTTCTTTTTTGGAGACAGTTTTTTAGGTAGTATTGCCACTCTTGCCTGGTGTAAATACCTATTTCACCTGAGCAGTGTGGGTGACTCTTGCTGGGAAGTGTGGCCAGGTGGATGTGGGGAACAGCAATCCCTGTGTCCCCCAGATCTTCTGAGAGCCACTTGCTTGAGTAACTGTCCTGTGGCTGAGGAACCTTTGAGGTGCTGCCCTGTGCTCTGCTTAGGCTGCTGAGTTCCTCTCAAGTGGCTCACAGAACTTCTATGGCTTCAGTGAGCTGGTAGTGGATTTTCTACTCTGGTTTTGCCTGCTTCATCCCCAGGTGTCTGTCCTATACCTGCTGGACACACCATGGGGAGCCTAAATGGATCAGGATGTGTGAACATGTTTTTAAGACAGACTTCAGCATCCCCTTCACTTGCAGCTGCTGCCTGGAGCAGCAAAGATTGGATTTTCCATGTTGTATCACAAAACCTGGAGTTTCACAGCTGTGGCTCCACTGCTCCTGAAAATAAATAATGGAGGCTGGCACCAAAAGTCATGATTAAAACACTACCAAAAAAGCCCAGCCCAAAACAATGAGCAGCTTTTCCACTAGTGATTGAGCAGCCCTGGGCAGAGGCTGGTGAGACCAGGCTCTGCTGGACTGGACAAGGACTTGGTGCTGGCTCCTGCCCAAGGCAAATGAATTCAAGGTGTTTCCTCTGGAGAGCAAAGTGAATGGAGGAGCAGAGCCTGACCTGCTCTCTGCTGATTCCACCTGAGGTTTTGGCCAAAACACCAAAATTACTGAGCACTGATTATGCTCAAAATATTTCCTCGGGGTTAGAGAACTGAATGAACTTCTGGAGCTGTGGGCTCAGGCTGCCCTGAGTGTTTGGTTGGAGCTGGGAAGGGTTAAATCACAACCTGGTGGAACAAACTGCAGTTTCTCCAGTCTCTCTCATGGAATCACAGAATGGTTTGGATATGAAGGGGCCATTCAAGGCCATCCAGTCCAAATCCCTGCAAGAAGCTGGGACACCTAATGTGAGAAATGAATTTGTAGAGAATTCTTAAAGTACATTTTATCTAAAGGATGTTAGGCACTGGGCTAAAACTCTTAAAAGGCATCTCTCAGTATACAACTTGCTTATTTATATTCACTGGTAATGTAATAGCTATTGTTGGTTTTGGTTGAATTACCATTGGAGCGTTGTAAGTAAGAGCTAAAATCATCAGCTCTTCATTACAATTTGCTGAGATGATAGTTGGAAAAACTGAAAGTCTAAGAATTCTATTACTGTCTTGTCTATAATTAGCAAGTCTTGTCCTTGTTGTAAAGTATTAGTTACTCTTGTGGGAATGCATTCATGGTAAAAGTCTTTCAGAAAATGTATTAATTTGGAAGCTGCCAGTTCACATTGTGAACTAGCCTAATCCAGCTGTCCTAGGCTGCTCCAAGCCCTGTCCAGCCTGGCTTTGGACACTTCCAGGGATCCAGGGGCAGCCACAGCTGCTCTGGGCACCCTGTGCCAGGGCTGCCCATCCTGATCATGAAAAGCTTCTGAGCTCAGCTCCGTTGCACAGCAGTGACATTTCAGGGGTTGGGGCAGCTCTTCCAAGCAGGACTTAGGTTTCCTGTCCCTCATTAGAGGCTCTTTGTGGTAGCACTGACTTGTGTCAATCTTTTCCTGAGGCGTTTGTAGAGCTGCTGCAGAGATCAGAGCTGGGAGGAACAACAAAAGTTGGGATGTCAGCCCCAGCAGAGACAAAGAAAATGACAGCAAGTCTCTCCCTGATCCTGCCCTTGGGCAGCTTCAGCTGCTGTGGAGAGAAATGTGGACTTTATTCTTCACACTGCAGCCCTCACTTTCTCACTGTCCTGTCAATGTGCAAGTTTTCAGTGGCTGAATTGAAAAACAAAATCCTCTTGGGGCACTTACTGGTTCTCGTTCCAGTTGTCTCCCGTGGGCACAAAAGGACACTTTTCAGGGCTTGCCTTTAAAATATGATTTGGTTTCCAGGTGCTTTTGTTGCATCTGTTTGCTATAAGAATTTAGGGAGACCTTAAGTTACTTTTTTTTTGGATTATGCAAAAAAGACCAAGTATCTGTAAATGTTAACCATGATGACAAATGATATTTTAATACTAATGTGTAGAGCCCAGAGTCCATTTCCAGCCCCAGAAGGGGGCTCTGAGCCATAAATTTTTTAATTACTGCCCACTTCACTGTCATGTGTGTATCTTTTATTATTTATCATGTTCTGGTTCTCTGCCCCACGGTCTAATAGTTATAAATAGAATTATAATAGTGGCTTCTCCAGGCAAAAGCTCCTGTTCTTTGCACATCAAGAAGTCTTTTGCTTATTCAACTGGGATGGCATCTATTCTTATATCCAGTGGTTCTGCTATGTTTCCTCTAATTTTTATCAGACTTTTTGGGGGGTAGTTTAAGGTGATTTTATTTCTATCCTCCTCTAAACAGCTGCTAGAAATGAGGCAGATTTCAACATCCCTGCCTGGTCTTGGTTTCTTGTTGTCAGAAGAAATGCCAAAACAGCTCCTGTAATCCCCGTGTGCTGATAGACAGGCTGCAGTTCCATTCTGATGGGAATTAGATTTGTACATGGGAATTAGATTTGTAAATGGGAATTAGATTTGTACAGCCTCTGCTGTGTAGGAATCTGCCAGGCATTCCCAGTTATCCCAGTGGCACTGTGTGCAGCTCTGAGGCTCCTCTCTGTGCCCCTACATCACTTCATTCTCTGGAGGCTCAGAGGAGCTCCCAGTCTTTGTCCTTTGATTTGGGCTTCTCCTCCTTGAGCTTCACTTTTCAGCTGCAGTAATCATAGAGTGATGGAATATCCTGAGTGGGGAGGGACCCCCAGGGATTATCCAGGGCAGCTCCTGGTCCTGCACAGACACCCCAGCAATCCCACCCTGGGCATCCCTGAGATCATTGTCCAAACCCTCCTGGAGCTCTGGCAGCCTTGGGGCTGTGCCCGTTCCCTGGGGAGCCTGGGCAGTGCCCAGCACCTCTGGGGGAAGAACCTTTCCCAAAATCCAGCCTGATTCTGCCCTGGCACAGCTCCAGCCATTCCCTGTCCCTGTCCCAGAGATTGGAGCTGCCCCTCAGGAGGAGCTGCAGCCCCCCCTGAGCTCTGCCCTCAGTCTCCTTCTCCAGCTGAACAATCCAGGTGCCCTCAGCTGCTCCTCAGACCCTTCCCCATGCCCACGTCCCTCTTTTGGGCACTCTCCAACAGCTTTGGATCCTTCTGATATTGTGGCACCCACAACTGCCCCAGATCTGAGATAAGGCTGCAACAGTTCCTTCACTTCCCTTTGAGTAACTGGTGGAGAGAAGATGTTCTGCACAGTTGTTGAGTCTGTTAATTTCTAATTAGGTCTCCTTGAGGTCACTGGTTTTATTCTCTGAAAGTTCTGCTAATTAAGAATCAACCTGAAGAACAATGAGGCTTAGAGGGGAGGTTAAATGATGGAAAACTGTTGTTTAGCAGTGCAGAATTCAATATTAATGTATCAGTATTAATATTAGCCTCAGTCTTAAAAAAAAAAAAAAAAAAAACCAGAATGGTTTGGGTTGGAAGGGACCTTAAAGGTCATCTAATTTCAACCCTCTGCCACGGGCAGGGACAGCTTGCACTAGACCAGATTGCTCAGTGCTCTCTGCACCCTGGCATTGAACACTTCCAGGAATGGGGCAGTAACAACTGTTTTCATTTATATCCCTAAGAAAGTCTTTGGAAGTTAATGTTTCATTGTATTGCGCTGGTTTATGGTCCTGTTTCTGGGTTTTTTCTCCCATTCTGAGTATGGTGGGATCTGCTTTGGAGCAGGGTTTGTGAGCTGATGGATGGCATGAGATGGGATGAAGGGTGAAGTGGTTTGGGAGGTGCAGGGGGTCACACCAGGGGTTGGTTTGGAGAATCTGAGGGCAGCTGTGTGGAGCTGGGGTCTGGGATGGGTGGACAGAGGAGGAGCTGCTGCAGGTGCAAGGTACAGACAGAGTTTCTGAAACCATCACCAAAGGTTTTTAACACTGGCTCTTTGCAGACTGCAGAACATCTCCAGGGAACATCCAGCTTTTACCAGAAGATTTCTGCTTTTCTGACCTCTACACGACTTCCAGATCTTATCTGGTGGAGAGATGAACTGGCCAGTCACTTCCAAAGCCAGCTGTGCCCACTTTGTCCTGCAATTCCCTCTGTCCTGCTCAGTAACATCACTGCTGTTAATCCTGACCCTCAGGTACTGTACACAAATGCTTGGACTTCTGGTAATTTTTCGGTCAGGTCCAGTAAAAGTTGTTTTTCCAGTGTTAACAGATAGTCTCATTTGCTTTAGCAAAGGATTTAAACAAAATTTGAAAACAAATGCCTCTACAATTAGAATATTCTGTGATTCAGTTCTGTGATTTTAATATCTGTGGATTTTCAGGAAGTGTGTGAGCTACAAGGACACAGCACCTCTTCAAATCAAGTGCTTCCAATCTCTTGCCTGCCTGGAAATGTCTGCAGGAGCACTCACTGCAGTCTAGAAGCAGAATAATAATTAACCTTTCACTTCTGTCAGATTAGCAAGTGCTCCATAACAAATATTCCATCGAATGAAATGTTACAAGAATTCCTTATACTAATTGGGAGAATTTATTCCTTGAAGGCATTCAGTGTTGCTTTTAGGCCTTTACCAGCCCTTCCTACCTTGGTGTAAATACTTAGAGTAGGTTTTCAAACTGATTTCTATACCTTTTGAGGGAATGTTTTGTTTATTTCTTTCCCACAGCAGCACCAGCCTTTGGACAATTGTGGTCTTTTCCCAATATTTTTAGTTGAACAAAACCCTTGAGACACAATTCCAGGGAATGTCAAAGCCTGCAATTCTTGTTCACAATGAAGTTTTAATTTTGAAAATGATACAGCATGAGAACTTTTCTGTCATTTCAACCAGATTTGGGGATTACTATGACTCTGTGAGAATCAATGCCATGAAAGCTTAGGGGTTTAGCAGTGCACTTAGCAATTTGCCTAAAGGTTTATCCCACTTGTGTGCAGGAAAAGGAGGCTTAGTGTTGTTGATTTGCAGTCACTGTGGCTTTCAAGCAGAAGCAAGAGCCATAAAGAGTCTGACGTACTCGTAAAAGATAAATCTGCTCTATGCTTTTAAGGCATAAAATAAGGCATCATTTAAAACAGCCAGGGCTTTTATGCAAATCCCTTATTAGAGGAATTATAAATCATTAGGAATTGAACAGCAAGATAGCAGGCGCTTTCTGGGGGTGGATCTTTGCCCTGATGCCATGGAAAACATGATGTCAATTTAAAAACCACTTCTCTTCCCAAGTTCAAGTGCTCTGTGCCCCCCAGGCCTGAGACCACTGTGTGTTTTGGCTTTTTCACAGAGTTATGGAATCACAGCATGGTTTGGGTTGGAGGGACCTTAAAGCCCATCCTGTTCCACCTCTGCCATGGCAGGGACACTTCCCACTATCCCAGGCTGCTCCAAGCCCCATCCAGCCTGCTCTTGGACACTTCCAGGGTGGAACAGCCACATTTTCATAGCTGGTTTGACAGCAAGGCTGATTTCCAAAGCAGAGCTCAATGAGGTACTCTCAGGAGGCAGCAGCTCACCCTGATGTCTGCCCTGGAGCTTTGCAAAGTGCTACCAACTGAGAATGTTCCCAAGTGTCATTAAAATACAGCCAAAAAGTGCTGCATGGAAAACTCAGTATCATCTTCTTTTAACTTCTTTGGTCTGAAGGTTTGGTACAAGGCCAGTGATCCATGCTTTGCTTTTTGTACATTTGTATTTGTTTTGAGGCAGTGTGTACAAAACTAAGCAGTCCAAAGAAACTGTGCCCACGTGTTGGAAGAGCATGCAGTGAATCCCTGCTTTTGCTCCAGGTGGATCAGCATCTGAGAGAGAAATCCTGGCAGGATGGTGGAAAAAAAAAAGGGTGGAAATGGAGGGAGAGGGAAGCTGTTGTGTACTGAGCATCTCTGTGTGTGATCTGGGGAGCAATTGCCAGCAGTAATTGTAATAACCTTTATGCTTTTTGTCTGTTAGTGCATGAGCCAATGTCTTGTTTTCAGTCAATTTGTCTCCTGGATTTTCTGCCTGTTCTGGACCTCAAACAGATTGCTTTGCTTGTGCTGGTTTTTGGAGGCATTTTTATGAGTGCTGTGCAATGAGCCTATTAACCTGCAAGCAATTCACTCCTGATAGGAGCAGCAGCTCACAATGCAGTCATTAAAGCCCAGCTTGGGTTGGGAGTGACAGGATCCCTGTGGAAGCTGTTAACTGCAAGGTCCCCTGTCAGCAGAAAGAGGATTTCTTCATTTTAGCATAAAATAAAAGTACTTCTGCTGCTAAGCCTCAGGATGCAAACATTTCCCTTTGGGATACAGACAACACACACAGAGCAAGCTTTGATCCTTCTTTTCCTCAGCCTGTTTGGTCCATGCTGGAATTCTTTTCCCTTCCCTCAGTTTTTCTGGACATTGGGACATTTGCCCAAAAGGTGCAGCCTTTGATGGTCACCTTCCAGAGCATCTCTTTGAACTTCCAAAGTGTGCAGATACCTACCAGGACAGAGAAGTCAGGGCATATCTGCATTTCCAGGGAACTTTTAAGGAAGAAGGGAAACCTCCATCCCTCCTCCTCTGTCCACTGACATCCCTAAGTCAAGGTGAAGGAGATTTTTTTACTTTAAGTTCCAGAAAATTCACTTTGTTGCACCTCCTGATGATCAGTTCCCCTTGCGCTGCTCCTTTAGTAGCTTTCCTGCTCTGACACAAAATTTGTGATGATTTTTCAAATAGCAGTGACTAAGGGCAGGTCTACACAAAGTTTTCTCCTTACTTTTTGCTTAAGCATTTTTAATTCTTTTTTCTGGTTAATTGTAGATAAGATTCCCAGAACTGGGTCCAGGGAACTGAATTTGCCCCAGTATTGTAACCCAGGCCTGCTGAAAATGCCCAGCAGCACAGACTGACCTAACAGCAAGGCTGATGTGTGGCAGGGGGCTGGCAGAGAGTAGAGCAGTTCTTTCATGTAGAATTTTAGATTTTTGGGCTTTCCCTGCTGGAGTTGATGTTAGCTGTGTTGCCATAGGAGCTCTCACACACAGAAGCTTTGAAAATTGCATACTTTATTTCAAATTCTGAAATAACCATGTTGGCTACATGAAGAGCTTGACATTGCTGCTGAAATTTGAAATCCCTGTGGCAAGCAGCCCCAGATGCAGCACTTGTTGCTCTGTGCACTTGAGGCACAGATTTAGAGCTGAGATTCCCAAAGCTCTGTGTGCAGCCTCTGAAGAGGGGGTGGGAGGCACTTGCAGAGGATCTTTCAGGTCTGTGAGTCTGTGTCAGATGAGCTCAGTGAGAACACTGAGCTCTCTGAGTGCTGTGACATTATTTCATTGACAAGCACTGTGGCCTTGGCCCAGCTGAGTTGCCTTCAGCAACTTCCACTGTCTTTTGCTGTAACTTCGTTTAATTTCAGTGCTGATGGAGGCATGCTCAGGGAACTGCTTCTCATTGCCACATCAGCCTTTCACCCAACTCTGCAGGCCTGTGGCTGTGTGGGCTCTGCCTTTCACACATCCCAAACTACAGAAACTGGGCTTTGCTGTGGTTTAGTGCCTGTGCTGGGGGCAGATATGGTTTGATTTGGGGTTATTGCCCCATGTGTTCTTTCTCATTTCATGCTGTGTAAGCAGCACCCAAGCTGGGCCATGTTTTGGGATGGAGATGCTGCCTGAGCCCCGTGGAGAGCAGCACAATTTGCTCAGCTGCCAGACCTCAGCCCCACATTGCTGTGAGCTCCCAGCTTCAGTTCAGGGCTGTGCTTTCCTCCTTCAAAGCTTGAAAGATCCGATTGTTGTGCAGCTGAACTGGGCATTAGGAAGGGATAAAACACCCAGGACAGCTCCTCCACATGGGCTCACCCAAAGCAGATGTGGCAGGATGAGTCCTGCAGCATTGGCAGTGCCAGCCATGGAGCCCAGCACTCAGCTCTGGGACATCCAGGCTGAAGTTGTAAAGCAGGAGCTTCAAAAGGACAGATTCATTCTGCCCTTTGCTTTCAAATCTTGCCTGTGGTTTGTCTTTATCTGAATTAGTGAAAAGACTCAGGTCTTGCCTGGCTGGCAGCCTGAGTGTGTTGTGCAGCCAGCTCACGTTGTACCAGCAGCTGGGGTGAGAGCACATCTGGCTGGAGATTCCACATGGATAAGGCTTGTCTGGGGGAGAAATGTTTGTCCTGGGACTTCATCTATTTATATTTATGGAAAATAATCCATAGCTGCAGCCCAGAATAGCTGCATGGCCATCCATATCTTCAGGAGACAGAAGGTGACATCTTGGCCCTGGCTGAGTCCTGCTGGAGTCTGGCATTTATTTTCGTGGAGCCAGGAGTTCAAGCAGCCACTGGCATTTGTAAATAAAAATGCCTAACCTTTAGAAGGAGGAAGGACTACACTGATGTCTACCAAAGCTGGCACAAAGATGAAGGCACAGCTTGGAGAGGAATAAAACATTAGAGGTTTTCATTCTTCCTAAAATTTGACAGCTCACATTTAGATTGTGTCCATCATTCATTATTCCTGAAAAGAGCAGCTTTAAAGAGCTCTTGAGCTACTGTGCTTTGCCATTGGTGCTGGTGGGCACAAAGGCTGGGAGCTACTCTCTCATTCTGACTTCTGTGGTTTAAGATCTCCCTTTCCCAGTCCAGAAGGGGAACAAGGGGATGTGAGATCCATTTCAAACTGCCTGAAATAGTCACCAGAACTGCATGTCTTCCTTGATGAGTCCTCTTTATCTCAGGCTTTTTGCTGCCTGGGCTCTTCCTGTGGTGCCTCCGCTTTCCTGTACTAAATTCTGTAACCATCTGAAGGGAACATGCACAGTGGGGAGGGAAGATGTGCAGAAAACACACTCAGCATTGTGTTCATCTGGATTCTACCAGGAAAACTGTGCTCCTGCACAGGGCAGTGGAGAGAGGAGAGAGTTTGAGAGTGGTGCTGCCTCATTCAGGGGCAGGATTTGGTGAATCCCATCAGACACGAGCCTTGCTGAGTGAGAGAAGTGAGAAGTGCTTTCTCTGCTGCCCCTGATGTGCTCAGCAGGGCTGGCAGGGAGAGGTTACCTCAGCACAGAACTCCCACCTGGCTCTGCAGGGACTGCAAGTGCAGCATCCTTCTCCAAGGGGTTTGGTGTTGTCTCAGAGATAATGGCTGAGCAGATATTTGCCTTGTGTGTGTGAGATGAGATTGTGGAGTACATGGGGATGCTTCCTGCAGTTTCTGTTTTCCTGCTGGGACGGGGAACAGCCTGGAAGACTCCTTGCAACTTAGAAGACTCTCTCAGATCAGCTGACAGCAAAAACTCTTCCTTTGTTGTCAGAGATGGGAACAGAAAATACTGTAAACATAAAGAGGTGATCACGGGCTTGGTCATATTTCTGTGTGACAGTTAAATATTCATGGTTTTGCTGCAGCTCCAGTCTCCTCTGAAATGTGCTTATTCTTCATTCTGCTGAGAATTTTACAGCACGTTTTTGTTCTCCTGTGAGTTTCCTTCCCAGAACTGTCTGCCTTCATCTGGGTAATATTATCTAAAACAAAGCAGGAGCTTGGGGTTTCTTTTAAATGCTTTTGGAAAAACTGGTGTGTGTTCAATCCCAGCTGTGGCACAGAGTGGTCTTTTCCAGTGTCTTAAGGTGACAGAAGCTGGAATTTGTCATCCAAACCAAACAAGGATAAATTGGCAAAAAGCAATGACTAAAGCCAGGAGTTTATGGATGTGCCCTCCCTCCCTGCTCATCCTGATCATGTCAGTGTGGATGGAGAGGATGTCAGTGCTGTAAGGAGCCCTGGAGACACACATGGGGATGGTTATGGTTCATGAGCCTGGGCTTTGAAACCTGTCACAGCAGAAGTCAGAGCATCCCTGGGGCTGTGCAGCTGCTGCTGGCTGAGTGCAGGGAGCCTTCCTCTCTGGGGGAAGGCTTTTCCCAGGAGATGGGATGTTGGTACAGGGCTCATAGCCTCACTGGAGAGGGGTTCTCAGGTAGGGATCAAAGGCTGGGCTGCTTCTTCACCATTCTGAGGGCTTGGGGAATCTCCTCTCCTCCCACCAGGAGCAGGTCAGCACTCAGACCTGAAGCTTCCACAGGCTTGGGAAAGGATTTACAGCTGCTGTGATGTTGGAGGAGTGACAGGAACCAGGCCTGAGGTGAAATTCTCACACCCACCCTCTTGTGAAACATTAAAAGTAGCACTAAAGTATCATAGACAGAAATAGTGTCCAAGTTCTTTCAGTAGGAGAAGGCTCCTGCAGCTGCCTCCAGAGGGTCCCTCTCCCTTTTTGTGTCCAAAAGGACTCAGCTCAGTATTAGAACAACTGGCTCCATGAAATTCTCTCCTACATCACAGGGAAAGTGACTTTCTGCCTGTTCTTTCCTGCTGATGGCACAGGAAGGCTGTGTCAGGAGCTCTCCACTGGGACATTATAGCCAGGCTGGACAAAGCAGGGTGCTCATCCTGCAGCCACCTCTCTATTTTCTAATTCACAAGGAGAAGGATTTTCTGGGAGAAGTAAGACTTTTCTGTTTTCTGTTGGTTTGTGAGCTCCCATTGAGGCTGGCTGTTGGAAAAGAGATGTGACAGATGACAGGAACAATTCCCACAGGCCTTGCTTCCCAGGTGTGGCCACAGCCTTGCTATGCCCTTGGAGCAGCATCCTGGGATCCTCATGGATCCACAGCTTACACCAGGGTGCTCCCCTTGGATTTTCCAGCCTGGATTTCCACCCTAGAATCCCCTTGTATTTTCTCCTTGGATTTTCCCTGTGTCCTGAGCTGGATGATTATCCTGAAGGTTTCTATGGAAATAGAGGCTGGTGGTGATTTGAGCACATTTGTCCCTTCTTTTCCTTCTGGAAGATTCACAAACAGGAGGTTTGTTCAAGGAACAGCTGGAAGAAATAGGAAACTGGGATTTTGCTGCATTCTCACTTTGTAGGGCTTGTCTGGGCTCATTGCACTGTGCCACTGTTGCAGGTAGGAGCTGGCATCATGCACTGGGAATGGGGAAGATCCCTTTCCTTAAATCTGCTTTTCCTCTGATGGTATTTTCCACAGCAACCAAGTGTAATATCAGCAGTGGAGGCTGGGGATTGATGGATTGCAGGACAGAATGGACAGATCCACTGGGAGATGCCAAAGCCCTTGGTTTGGTGCAGTTGATTTGACTGAAACAGGGTGAAAAGTGAAATCCCCAGTTCTGATTTCAGGCAAATATCTTATGAAACACAGGAAATACAGGAAGGAGGCAACACAAAAGTTTACTGAAGTGGAAAGGCAGTTGTCAGAGGGGCTTTATTATTCAAATTAATTTCATTTTCTGGTTGTTACTTTGAAACATTTGTGGAATGCTCTGAAGTGCCTATCATTTGCCAAGCAGCACACCCGAAATCTCTCAGGTGATTACACAATTAAACAGCATTATATGGTGCTCATAATGCAGAGTGGCTGCATTAACCCTGCTTCTCCATGCTGGGTTTGCCCCTTTTCTTTCCATCATAAAAGTCCTGATGAGACCATGTTGAAAATTAATTTCTTTTTCTGTTTTTGTAAAGGTCAGTCCACATAAGCCGAGGAAAAATTAACACCTGCTGTAAATCAAAGTAGAGCCTTTAAAAGTAGTGAAGCTTCTTTGAGCTACATCTGGACCTGTGTTTTAAAAGTGACTATTTTTTTTTCTTCATCCTTGGAATGATTCCTGCCCACTGTGGACTCTGCCTAAGTGCATCTGTATTTCTGGAATGTTCAAACCAGAAGCTGACAAATGTGACTTTCAAGGGTTGCCTTTGTCCCTGGACTGTGGCCTTGCTTACAGAGCGTGCAGTCACAGCACATTCTCCTTTCCTGAGTGACACATCCTTACCCTTGCACTTGTACAAGTTGCTTGCTTGGCTGCTCAGAAAATGGATGAGAAACAAAATAAGGTGCTGAGCCTGGGAAATGCTGTGCTTGTGTGGAGCTGTGGCCTAAATGCCAGTATTTTGCCTGTCCATGAGGATGTGGCACAATGAGACTAACAGATATGTGTCACTTGTGGTGACATGAGCACAGGAGAAATGTGCTATTTTGGCTACAGGCATGTAGTTCATGCAATCCCTTCCCTGCCCTTCCATTTGATTGATTAATTAGAGCATTGCTTTCACAAAGGCCTTTTCTGCTGAGTGCTCAGCACAGTCGTGGGGAATTGAGGTCTCAGCTGATGATGCAGCTCCTGGTGATGTCTGTGAGTGCTCTGCATGTTGGGGAGTCACTGGGTTGGACCCTGGGAATGCTCAGGCTCCTGGGAAGCAGTTGCAGATTCATATTCTTGGGATGTCACTTAAATGGAAGTACTGGAATAATTGCAAGAAAGCAAATTACATAAATTAACAACACTGGGCTGAGTTTAATCCACCAGCTGCATCCTTGTGTGCTCTGTGGCCATAAGATCCTGATTTTGCTGCTTTATTTTAAGGGACCAAGATAAGGTGGAAGTGAGAGCTGTCCTTTGTGCATTTCAGGCTGTGGAGAAGGCATTTGCAGTGCCAAAGGGATTTTACTGGCAGACAGTTGAGAGTGATGACAAACACTTCCCTGACAGCAGTGCCATGGAAGCTTGCAGAGACACAGACACTGAGGTAAAGAACAACAAACACCCCCCTCCTTCCTCACCTGGGGGCTCAGGGGGACACTGTGACACAATTAAATGCCCTGGAATATTTCAATCTAGAGCTTTGATATAACTACTGATCTTGAAGTATTTTTCACTCAGACCTAAATATATCAGCTGGGTATTTTATGTCATCAGTATTGATGTGCTGATTGCTCTGAGCAACAGAAGATTAAACTTTGAAATGTGTAGGTTGGAGAAATTGCTACCAACCAGGTGCAAATCTGTAAGAGTAGACAAAATTTTGATAACCTGAAACCACTTGACTGTAAGTCAGTAAACAGCACAACTTTGATTAAACTTGGGCTCGGAAACATTCCAAGAAATTTCTGAAGGTTCTGGTACTGCCTGATCTTGAGTAACTGTGTGTCGTATGAACAAGTAGGGAGCATTTCTACTGATTCTACCCCAGGAGAAGAGAAGTTTAAAGTGATTTCAATTAGCTCTTGGTTAGGAGTGCAGCACAAAATGTTCAGGATCTCACCATGTGAGATGAGTTATTATTGAGAAGAGCAGAGCAGGGCCAGCAGCAGTAATGGGGATCAGCCCAGGGTCACAGAGCCACGGACTGCTTTGGGTTGGAGGGACCTCAAAGCCACCAGTGCCACCCCTGCCATGGCAGGGACACCTCCCACTGTCCCAGGCTGCTCCAAGCCCTGTCCAGCCTGCTCTTGGACACTTCCAGGGTGGAACAGCCACATTTTCATAGCTGGTTTGGCAGCAAGGCTGATTTCCAAAGCAGGGCTCAATGAGGCACTCTCAGGAGGCAGCAGCTCACCCTGATGTCTGCCCTGGAACTTTGCAAAGTCCAGGGACACCTCCCACTGTCCCAGGCTGCTCCAAGCCCCATCCAGCCTGGCTTTGGGCACTGCCAGGGATCCAGGGGCAGCCACAGCTGCTCTGGGCACCCTGTGCCAGGGCCTGCCCACCCTCACAGGGAACAATTCCTAATGCACAATATCCCATCCATCCCTGCCCTCTGGCAGTGGGAGCCATTCCCTGTGTCCTGTCCCTCCATCCCTTGTCCCCAGTCCCTCTCCAGCTCTCCTGGAGCCCCTTTAGGCCCTGGCAGGGGGTCTGAGCTCTCCCTGGAGCCTTCTCCTCTCCAGCTGAGCACCCCCAGCTCTCCCAGCCTGGCTCCAGCCCTCAGAGCATTTCCATGGGTTCCTCTGGACTTGCTCCAACAGGCCAACATCTCTCCTGTGTTGGTAGCCCCAGAACTGGCACAGCCCTGCAGGTGGGAGCCCCCAGTGACCAGGCCAAGGCAGAAAGCCCAGGGTGCAGACAGTGGCCAGAACTGGTGATGTGTGAGACCAGGCCAGGCACAACTCAACCAAGCTGCAATGGAGAGCAAGGCCAAGTGCCAGGCTCCTGAGGAAAGGGGACACTGGCCCTTCCTGAGGCTTCCCTGTGCTGGATGGCTCCGTTATCACAGCTGGCCCAAGCCCAGGCAGCCCCAGGGACTCAGAGCAGCTACAGGAAAATTCCTCCTTACTGGCTGCTGTGAGTACTGGGTTAATAGCAGGAGAGCTTCAGCTAGACAAACATAAAGAAATAGAGCTTTTATTCCTAATTAGACCACTTTTATATGATTTGAGTAAATTTCTATTTTCATTTATCATGGTGGTAAAGCCTCATAATGTCTTTATGTGGCAGTAGCATTTAATTTCAAGTGTCCAGTAGTGATGGATTCATTTGGCATTTGCTGCAGCCATAAACCTTGAGCTGGGGAAATCCTTGAGCTGCTCAACATCCAGGAGAACCATGCCCAAATGTGGGGCCAGAAAATCACCTTGTCTGATCCCCAGCTAGACAATTTATTATCCACAGGACCACACAACTCCCTGTCGTAAAGTGCTTGCTTTATAAAACAGTTTGTTTCTCTGATGGGGAAAATAATAATAATTTGCTTCCCTTTTGGGTATAAACATTCAGAATGTATTGGTGTGAGTCTTCCCTCATGCCAGGATGGGCTGAAATGGATTAGGCTGGTTAAGAAGACTCTGAAGTGTAAATCTGGGACAGTACCAGTGATGTGATTGCCTTTTGATGTTTTTTTAGTGTTGATTTTGGTGCTGTTAAAGGTATAGAGACAGAACCAGTTGGTTTATTATTATTTAATTATCCAAAGATGGACAAATGGTGCTGCACAAAGTGAACAGCAGAAGGGGTGCACTGTGGGCTCTGCCCTAGAGGCCTTGCAGTTTTTCACTAGTAGGTTTATGTGACAAAAGACAAAGCTTTATCAGCAGAAATAGATTAAATTATAATTATTGATGTGATTTAGCCCAAAGCCAAGAGCCTTGTGTGTAAACTGCACATAAACAGAAACCAAACCCAAGCCTCTCTGTTGCTCTGGCAGTGCAGATCCATCCTGGGCACTACAGGTGAGCAGCAGGGCTGCAGCTCTGAGGTTCTGCTGGGCTTGGGAGCGTTTCCCTGATTTTTCCATGTTTTTCTCTGGCTGTCCAGGTTGCCATGGTGCTGCTGTTTGAGGCTCTCTTCCGAAGCCCCCTGGAGACCCATCACACTCTGCAGCTGCTGCTGGGCTCTGGGCTGGATGTCTGCGGCCTCCGCCTGCTCTACCCCGGCCAGGACCTGCTGCTCTCCAGCTCAGGTGGGCTCTGCTTCTCCTCCACAGCTTCCATCGTGCTGAGGAAGGCTCAGATCTATAAATGCACTGAGGTGAAGGGTGATCAGAGTCAGATTTGCATGAGGGCTGCTTTATCAGTTCCTGTATCTTTCCCAAAAGAAATTAGAGAATAGCTTTGACTGTTTCTTTCTTTCTGTTCCCACTGTTGAATATCCATGAGCTGAATTTTTAACTCTTCATACATTTTTGGGTCTCAGACTTTAGCTGTTGTTCCTTTGCAGTGAGCTTTCACACATTTCAGTGCCCTGAGCCACCAGGGACAGGCTCATGTGAGTTAAATATAAACATTTAGTTCCTCACTGCTAGTTCCAAGGTTTTAGCTGTAGAAAATCCAGCCTCCCTTTTCCACAATTCCCCCATCTCATTGCCTATGGGGCTTCAGGAGTACTGATTTATCTGGCCTGTAATTGCATTGGCTGATAAACCATCACCAAAATGCCAGATTATGTCACAGAATCCTATCTGAGGTGTGAGGCTGCAGGATAAGGTAAATAAACACAATCTGAGGCTCTCAAATCACAAAGTCTTGAACATCAGACTTTGTATCAAATACTGGCATGTACCACTCAAGTCTCTATTTTCTCCCATTAGAAACAGAGATGATGAAGCCTGCCTTAAAGCATTATGGAATATTATTGGTTGCTGCTGCAGCACAACTCCAGAGCAACAGGTGTGCTCCTAGCTTCAGAGTTTAGAGATTGCTTGTGGCTTGTGCTTCTTTTTAAGTCACAAAGTTTTTCTGGAAGGTTCAGGTGTGCCACAGACAATCCATTTCTCTTGGGAAAGGCACAGGCAGGCTGAGAGGCAGAGAAATAGGCTTCCTTCTCCTCTGGCAGAAGGGGAATGAAGAGCAGCTTAAGCAGAGAAAATTCCCCAGTCTCCTCACTCCCTTTTTGCATTTGAAAGCAGTAGGAGCAGACTGCCTTAGGAATGGGATTGCAGTTGCAGCTGGCTGGGTGCTGTGCACAGAACACATTTCTGGTGAGGGCTGGAGAAATGGAGGAGGGCTCCAGAAATGATTAAGAAAACCATAAAACCTGCAGTCATTAGGAGCTGACAAGCAGCAGATCTGCTTCAATGCTCTGTACTATTCACCATTATTTAAGAACATTTCTTATGAAGAGACAATTCATTTGAGCTGAGAACTGCTGTGCAAGTTTGTAAATTAGATTTTTACCCTTAGCTTGATAACTCTAAAATTATTATTTTAAATATTTACAGCCAGTTGCTCCATTATCTACCTGCTCTGGAGATTTGTGTTCTGCCTCCTGATTCTTATGCAAGAAATGCTACATTTGAATATTTTTTTAAACCTAAGGAAAGAAAATCACACACCTTGCTGCATTTTCTGACATCTGCAGTAAGAATTGGAAAGGAGACAAATTTGCTTTTTCTGGGGTTACTTTCTGGGCCCCAATTGTGCTGGAGAAAGGTTTGCCAGAGTCATAGGGAAGAGTTGTTGAAAGAAGTAAGGGAAGTCAGGGTTCAAATCCTGGCAGAAAATTAAAGGTGGTAAATCAAATATTTGCTTGGACCTTACAGCATTGTACAAATCTGTATTTAATCCAGAAGGAAATAATGTAAGAAAGAAGTCCCCAGATTTCCAGTTTGTGATGCCCTTCAAAACCATCCCTTTCCTCAGGCCCCTGTACTTCAATCCCCCAGCCTTGCTTGTGGTGATGAACAAGAGGAACTTGAAATGCTGACTTAGAATCACAGTTTGGGCTTAAAAGACCCCAAAGACCACCTAGTTCCAAACCCTGCCACAGGCTGGGACACTTCCAGTGCATCACCTGCTCTGTAATAACTTTTCACAGCAAACATGAGGCAACCAATTCCTCTTGCTTCAACTGACTGCCTTGAATAATCTCAGGTTTGCTATTGGGTAAACACATGCAGGTGCTGCCAGCATCTCTCCCCCAGGGCAGGTAACCAGGTGGTTCCCAGGGCAGGTAACCAGGTGATGGATTCCCAGGGCAGGTAACCAGGTGGTTCCTCTGTTGAAGTCAGGCTCTGACAGATCTGAAAAGAGCTCCTGAGTGGAGTGAATGACTTTGGGGTGGGTTGTTCCATGTTTTACTCACACATGTGTTTGTTTCCACAGAAAAGCTGCCTTCCTCCTACACTTCAGAGCCTGGCAAGGTGTCCCCAGTGCTGGCATTAGGTGTGAGAGGACCCAAAGCCCACGGCATCCTGCAGGACATCACCCGAGGCTCTGGCAGGGACCGGAGCCAGGCGGAGCCTGTCGTGTCCCTGCCCCTGCCCAGCCGGGTGCACAGGGAGCTGTGCCTCTGGTTTGGAGGGAGAGCTGCTGGAATCCTGTCCCCACCTTCCAGGTGATGGCCCCGGATGGTCTGGAGCTGTTGTTGCACAGGCAGTGAGCCCTGGAGGCAGGCAGGCACTCAGAGATCTGTGTCAGCCTTCCAAGGGTCCTGCAGCATGGGAGTGCAGGGGGAGCAGTCTGCAGAAATCCTTCTCTCTTCTGCAGCAGATCATAGAATCATGGAATATCCTGAATGGGAAGAGTCTCACAGGGATCATCCAGGGCAGCTCCTGGTCCTTCACAGACACTCCAACAATCTCACCCTGGGCATCCCTGAGATCATTGTCTAAGCACTCCTGGAGCTCTGGCAGCCTCAGGGCCGTGCCCATTCCCTGGGGAGCCTGGGCAGTGCCCAGCACCTCTGGGGGAAGAACCTTTTCCTAATATCCAACCTAAACCTGCCCTGCCACAGCTCCAGCTCCTTTTCTCTCAGTTCCTAGATGTGTCAGGCCTGGAACAGTTGCAGTTGCTTCCCATTCCCTGTTCCCTGGTATCCAGGCCTCTAATTTATATTCTTGCTGCAAGATTTGGAAACCTGGTGCTGGAGAAGAGCTGCAAGGCTGTGTGCCAGTGAGTGACCCTCTCCTAGGAAACCTCTGGCTTTGCCCTATAGATCAACTGATAAAGAGATTCAGTAGGAAAAGGTTCTTTGGAGGATAATGAGAGAAGTGTGTGAAAATGAAGGGTGGCTTATAAACCTTGAACTGCATGAGAAACTCAGCTGCAGAAAGCTCAGACCTGCAGGTTCTGAAGAGGTTTTTAGGGATCCTGTCTGATCCTGGGGGCAGGGTGGCACAGTCAGAGGCAGCAGGCTGGAGGTGAGATCCATCCTCTGCACTGCTGTCAGTGCTTTCTGTGAGTGGCAAAGCTCAGCCATGTGGAATTAACCTGTGGATTGCTGCGAAGGATTATGCATCAGAGTTCAGCTCTGCTCTCAGCCATGACCAGCGACTCTCACCATTTTTATGTTTAAGATGTCAAAAAACTTCAATTTGGTCAAGTTTCATTCTCTTTATTTGTTTATTTTCCTCAGGGATGTCTTTTGCCTCTTACAAAGATGATGAATTCTGCTCCTCTGGTATAACTCAGTCCAGAGCAGTGCTGCCTCCTAAATAATGCACTTGTCTTTCTCCTAATGCTGGTAATTTGGTCTGTTGGGAGACAGGAATACAAACTGCAGCTCAGATTGCCCTTTTCAGATTAGACTTGCAAATGCTACAAGCTCCTGGGAGTGAGCAAGCAGGATGTGTTCCAGCCAGCTCCGTGGTGGTGGCAAGGGATGAGGCAGGTTTGCCTGAGCAGCCTGAGCTCACAGTCCCAGCCAAAACGTTCCCAGACAGTCCCTGGCTTTCAACCACACCTTCTGTTCACCCTGCCCTGATTGGGTCCTTTTGGATGTGCAGGAATGTTGTGGAAGTTTCGCTGGCAGGAACATCCCTGCCAGACTGGATTGTGCTTGTTGCCTAACACGAACCCTTCAAACTGGTTAAACTCAGCCTAAAGAACCCAAAGTGAATAGCAACTATGATGTGTCTGTGGGTGGGAGAAGCTCTGCTAGTGCAGCCTGACATATTTCTTGATTCCCAGATTTCTTTGCCAAGCTGACTACTTTGCATTAGCTACTTTTAATTGAACACAGAGAGCCTCAGGGGGAGTAATATGAAAAGATGTTCAGTCAGAGAGACCTTGATGCAGCTCATGTCACGGACAAGGGATTGAAATGGCTTTTCCAGTAAAGCAGTTTTACCAGAGAAGCTTCTGTGGCCTTGGATTTGTCACAGAAAGTAGGTTTGAGTCAGAACCTTTTAATATTTTTCATTTAATATTTATCATTTTTCTGCAGCTCTCAGAGACCTTCACCAGCTGGGGCAGGAGCAGATGAAGAAAAAGTTGACCTCCAGGGCTTGATGGAGCCTCGACCTCCAGCCATGCTTGTCTCAACTACCAAAGGTCAGTCTTAGGAAATGAAATTGGAGGGTTTACAGTTCTCCTTCACTGATAACATCACTTTATTCCAGCCCACCTAAGGCAATTCTGCCTCTCTGCATTGCTCAGGGCTGTGACTTGACCAGTTCTGGAGGCAGGAATGAACTTCTTCTAAAACACTGTTGCCTGAAATGAAGCAGCAGAGAAGTGGCACCACCTCATCCCCCTCATGGGAGCAGCTGCTGGAGTCCTGGGGGCTGCTTGGATGTCATTGAAGGGGAAAAAAGAAACAAAAAACACTTCACAGGAAATCTCTGCACAGAGGGGCCTGTTCATCAAAGACACAGTCACATGAAGACCTAACAAGAGTCCTTAAACTGCTGGTTTATTGATCAGAGATCATTTACCTCTCCTGCTGAAGACTGAATATTATAATCAGGGGAATTAAATGGTTAAGGCTTCGTTTAGGGCAGGACTGACCACAGTCAGAAAGGAGAGCATTTTATGGGATTAATATCAATGAGTTATCACCTGGTTCCACTCACATCCCCATTTTCCCCTTGTAGGACCAGTGTTCAGCCCCTGAATTTGTACCTAACCAGCAACAAACTGTGTCCAGGGGACACCTGCCAAGGCCCTGCCTGGCTAAAAGGTGTTGGGGTCCTGCTGTAAAGGCCAAAATCCCCTGGAGTGGGCCTGGCATAGCACATCTGGGGTGCAGGGGGTTTTTGGACAATGCTTTTGGCTGGTTCCTGCTGGCCCAGTTGCAGGTGGGAATTTCATTCACAGGAATGAAGCCTGAGGGGAGCAGAAGTTCAGCAGCTGTCAGGGAGGAGATGGCAGAATGAAAGCAGGATTGGAGTGACAGAGAAAGAAGGCATGGGGAATTACATTGCCAAATGAAAGAATCCATGAGAAAAGGATGAAAGCATAAGGCAAAAAAGATGAAAAATTAGTGGAAGGGAAGGAAAATGGAGAAGGGAGAAATGAAAAACTGTCTCAAAATTGGTTTTTTTTCCTCTTTTGGTTCATGTTAACTCAGGTAGTTTGGCAGGCAGCCCTTGGCTCTGTTATTTGGGATTGGGATTGATGGCAGCTGGTGGCTACTGATGGAATGAGTCACATTTGCTGCCTCCCCTTCCTTTTATGGCCGCTAATGATTCACATTTGCTGTGGGCTGCTGAGTTCCACCACACCACGTTCCATCTGCATGGAGCCTCAGAAGTCACTGTCAAGCTTTGCTCCTCAGATAACTTTGCTCTGGCAAGAGCAGCTGAAACTCTGCTCTGGGAGCAGACACCCTTGGGGTTTTCAGGAAAAGAAAAATTCACTGACTCCCTCTGGTCTCCAGCAGCTCCTCTTGGAGACAGGAATATTTACCCATGCAGAGCAGAGGTACTGCAGCTAGGTAGACCTGCCCATTCCCAGTAATCAAGTTTTGGTGGCCCAAGCAGATATTTTAGTTGATTTGGGATATGTGTGTGCAAAACATACATTTTTTAAAACACTTTTTAAAAAGTGTTATCAACTGGAGTGGAACCAAAATCTTCCCGCCAGCAATCTTAGATTTTGACAGATCCCATATCATGAATATGGCTAAAATCCAGTGTTAAAGCCATAAGCCAAAGAGAGATTTTAGGCAAAGAACCATCCTGCCTCTCCCATCCTTAGTGATAAATACAACAAGGTTTCCTTTGTTTTGGTGCTGTTGCTTTGAACTACCAGACAGCTTTAGCAGGACAGATATCCATATCACAAAGTCTAGAATAAAAATAAATATTCACTGTCCTACCCTCAGAATCAATTGGGACCCAACAAAAAAACCCTCCAGCCTCATTGAATCAATTGGTTAAAGCTATAAGAAATTATGAGGTAGCATAGGGAAAACCCATGTAGAAGTGGTACTGAGGATTTATCTTCAGAGCTCACTCTTGGCAGCTTATGAAGATCTGGATATACATTGTGAGGGATAAAAAAGTTGTGTTAGAACTGAGAAAGTGTAATAATGGAGGTCATGGTAAAAACAGGGAGCTCAGGCAGATCAGAGGCTTCAGGGAAAAGTCTTGAGCTTGTCTCACAGTGCTTAAGATGTGGGGGCTGCTCAGAAGGCCTTGGAGGCTCTTTCTCCTAAGCTTGCTCAAGGTTGCCAGGGACCCTGGCATTCAACTTGGAAAACAGGAGTCTTAAAACCCAATTCTAACCTGAGGTAAATTCCAGTTGTGTCTACAATTGCATGTACTGGGGTGAGGGACTCAAGGGGAGCTCGAGCAGCCAGAGCTGCTGGGAGAGGATCAGGTGGGACAGGGCAGACTGATACCATTGCCATGATGTCCAAGGAACCTGTGAGGTCCAGAGGGTACCAAACCAAAGGTGAGATCACAGGTAGTCCAGAGCTTCAGGAACTTGTGCCACAATACAGGTCTGGGATGAAGATTAAAGGCAGGAACAAAGGAGGGACAACAGGAAGCAGAAGGGGGTGCTGAGCAGGATTGCTGAGCCCACCAAAAACAGCAGAGAGGAATGAGAGCAGAGAGGAGTGGCCACAGCTGCTTCATGCTCTTTGGAGTGGACAAATTGATCAAGAACAAGTAGTTCTTGTTGCCCTGTTTGGTCACTCAGAGCATGGTCAGGCCTACAAGGCTCAGTCCTGCCCTGAGTGCTGGGGACTGCACGGGGACAGCTCCCACAGCCCGGCCAGCACCGACACACTGCCTGTGAGCAGCTCCCAGGCCTGGGGAGACAGGCTGGCTCGTCTCATCTGATGATTCATAAAGATATTACTGGTGGTGCCATAAGCTTTCCCACTCTGGGCTGGCCTTGGATTGCAGTCATGATGAGGTGGATGCAGCAAACAAACCATAAAACACAGGGTCACTGCTTGGGATGCAGCTGTTTGCTTCAAGGTGGAGGCAGCTGCTGTGAGAGCTGCCTTGCGTTGATACCACAGCTCCTGTGACAATAATATGCTGCTTTTCTTGCTCTTTCTTTGATCTAGGGGACATCATTCTGCTGGTGTCACCTGTGGTACCTCCCTGTGCCTATGGGGCTGTGCTTTCGACCTGTGCCCGCCGGGGCTTTGTGCTGCAAGGAC